TGGCTAAGAAGATGCTTTCCAGACCTTTGACTGTTTGCCTTTCCAAATATTGTCATTAACTTATTCTATTTTTCTCAGTCCATTTTACTTTGTTTTTAATGCGTATGCTCTTCAGTCCCTCAGGGAACTGTGGTTGGACTCTGGTCCATTCCATATCTCAGTTCTCTGCAACAAGAGAACTTGTAGGTGTCATAGATCAAAACTGTAGCTGGATTGTGGGGTTTTGGCCAGCAATTCTGGGTCATATGGCAGCCTATATTTGGGGACACGTGGGTGCTTTTTATGTGTTTCTCAGGGCTATGCTGCTATATGATTCTCCTTGGGGTGATTTTTTTTCTCTACAGGACCCTAAAAAGGCTTCCAGTGGAATGTCTTCCCATGCACCTCATCAGTCTAGTTTGATAATGGAGTATGTCTGATTGCTGAGATGAAGGACTAATCTGTATTATCTAAGTACACAAGACTGGTGTTACTGCGAGAAGTAAATGGATGTATAAATGTACATGCTAGAATCCAGCATGGTTAAAGTGCTTTCATCTTTTTTCAATCCAGAGACATTATATAGAGATGGAGCTAGCAAGATAATGCAAAATTCCCTTCTGTGTGAAATTAAGTTTTGAAATAGGACACTCAAAATGCCTTTTTGCAAGCTGTATTCTGGAAGTGCTACCTATTCTAGAGGATAGTTTGTTATTTCAGGGCATTAGGTCAGGCAAAGGAGATAAGTTCTGATGCCCTTAAAGAGTGGAGGCATTCACAGTACGACTTTTTTTTTGCTTTTTTGGTGCAAACGTGAAGTACTACATCCTCTGCTCCAGAATCCATCTGAGCCAGGCCCTTACAATATGTTGCTGGTGTGAAAGACTTGCTGTATAATTTCCTTTTAAGCCTAGTGTTTCCAGAGTTTTAGACGAGAGATCGTATTGACCAGCAAGATTTGTGCCTCGTTCATCTGATCAAGAGAGCTGTGATGCCTAGTACCTCCTGAGTTAATAATCACTGTAGGCCCAAAGTTTTTGTTTCTCTAGGACCAGCTTACTGACTCAGGCCTTAGCACCTGTATCTCAAATGCTGGAGGCTAGATGACTCTTTATACTAGAGAGCAATTGCTTCCCCCCTTTAATGGGCTGTCCTCCCCAGCAGCAGAAAGGGTTCCATGAACTGAGGTTATATGGAGTAGGATTTTTGCTTGTTGCTTGGCTAGCTTTGAATCTCTTGTTGATCTTGGTTCTTGTCCTACCAGAACCCAAGGAATCTGGTGTATCTTTTACTTGGATCCTGTCTTATCTGAGAACAGTCTCAAATGCATTATCCCCTTAAGGCTGCTGTGTCTTTTTTTCCTATCCTACCGACTTCTGTGGGATTATAAAAAGCACCAATAGTAGAAAGAGTGGTGAAGACAGAACGTGGCCCTCTCAGGGGCGAGCCTTTCAGCATGTGTTTGTAGGGGAAATATGCTTTACTAAAGAGAGGTAAAGATGTTTTTGTTTCCTGTCTGGGGATTGTTGCAGAAGAATTCAGTGCTACTAGAGGAAGAGAATCTTTTTTAGCTCTAGACCCTTGCAAGGAACGACAGAAGGATGTTGGCCTTGGATTGCTGGATAATAACTCACCAAGGTGACAGATAGGGCACCTACTTGACACTTGTCATGGTGGATGAAGGTGTCAAATTGAAGGACTGCGTATATGATTAAACCCAGTGCGTATTATGACTAAGTAGGCTCTGTGTGTGGGGTGGAGTTTTTTAATGTTACTGTTTGAGAAGTTTAGACTAGAACTGTTTGGTGAACTTGCTGTCGTTGAAAACTAAGGGGTTTAGATACATAAACAACTTTGGCATATGCATCATCTTCTCACAATTAAAAAAAAAAAAAAAAGCTGTGTAACTGCAACGCTGCTTGTCTAAATCCTGACCCACTTAGGAACAAGATGTCATTTGTGAAAGCAACCAGTTTTATGAGGTTATCTTGATGGAATCGAGCAGCCTGACATTCAAAGAGAAATTTCAAATACAATGAAGAGTAGTAGGAACACGGGAGAAAGCTTTATTGATTCGGCTCCCGCCACCCTACCTGAGGAAAATTGAGCTAATCAGGACCATATCTTAATGAGAAACTTCCAATATTTCAGAAAAGTGACTGGACTATGGTTTCACAATGAGTCTCCTGTGCTGTAATTTCTTAGTGTTTTGTATGCATTTGGTATATGAATTCATTTTGGGAGCAAAGTAGGAATGGAAAAGTAGTAGGGAGTATATTAATTGGCACAAGGCAAATTCAGTTTAAATATTAGGAGAAAGTTGAACTGGGAGGGCTGTTTATACACAGTGTTAAATTATCTAATTTGCTCTTAGAAACTACAATTGAGGGAAATTCAAAAATTCCCTAGATAAACATGTAAGGAAAGGTTTATGTAAGAGCTGGCTTTGCTTCAGAGCCAGGAGGTAAATCGGATGATACTGAGAGGTCCCTGTCAGCTCTACCTTTTGACAGCTTTCTATAGTTGATACTAAACGATGTATTGGAATTTTTATCATCCTTTTTAGGACTCTACAAGCCCCTGGATCAAAGTATTTAGATGAGATGATTCCTGACTAATTCAAATATGTTTGAATGTTTGGCCAAGTGGTAACTCAGTGCTTTGGGGGGAGGAGAATTGTGCAAAGCCTTCTGTACCTGTCTTAAAGAGTGAGTTCTGGAGTGTGTGGGGTTACCTTTCATATATGTTCTACGATTTGGTTCAGTCGAAGCAAAACCAGAGTGATTATGATGAAGCCTGAAGCTAAGTCAGTAGTAGAAAGTGTAAATGTTCACCCCTTTTCTAAGGGGCAAATCCTCAGGAGAGATTCTTGTTGAATCACATGCAATCAATTATGTTGTATCATATCCACAGTCAGTTTGCATTAGCTAATTACTGCAATAATTATTTTGGTGTCTTGGTAAAGCGTTCTCTGACTGTGCAATGTTTCAAAATAAGGAGAGCACAAAGATCCTTTTAAATTCTTAGCTGCATACATGTATCCTTTTGAAAAATAACGATCAAGTTTGCACTGATGAAGTGGGAGTTTGGAGGCCTGTAGCTAGCGTTGTCCCCCGGGGTCAATACTGGGTCCAGCCTCAGCCATTCTGTGATTCTGTGAATCACAAAGCATCAGTGCTCTTATATACTGCGTGATGAAAGCGTAGCATGATAGAATCTTGAAATTTGTTGTGATTTCTCCTGACTGCTGAAGTCTAATTGTGGAATTGGGGGAAAAAGTCTACAAAGAAGTAATTGCTAGAATGAAGGATTTATAGCTTTTGGGTAAATTAAGGACTGCCTGAATCTTAGTGACTTCAGTTCTTCAGTTAAAAAGAACTCAAGAACCTGCCAAAAACGTTCAGCTTGCTTTCTTAAGTTTCTAGTGTGTTTCTAGTTGTTCCCTGTTCACAATCTTAAATGCAAAGCTTTTCTTTATTTATTACATAATGTATGCATTCTGTAGCTGACTGTTAATTTTCCATGAAACACTGCCTTTTGAGGAGGGAAGAAATGATGAAGAATTTTTTAGTTCAGTTTTTGATTATTGGGGATTAATTTTAGTTAGTATCCAGGAATTGCTTGAAGAAAACTTTGTGGTGATTAGGCCCTATGCAAATCAGGCCATTAAAGACTTAGTGTACATGACAGGTTAAGTTCCAGTCATTGGCTGGATAATTCAGGAGATGCCATTTTCTTTTCCTGCAGTACTTGTTATCAAATGAGTGTCAACTTTGGTAATTCCTAATTAAGAATTAGAGGCAGGAGAGTGCTAGTTGTCTACCTTTTGCACCTGACATGAACATTAGAGGTGCACCATTCAAAAACCTATTGAATTAGAAGCTAGGCAGTCATGGATATTTTCAAGGGAAAGCAAGTACTGGTGTTCTGGCACTGTGCGGGTAACGCTGCAGATACCACTGACGGTTCTTAAATTCTTTGTTTGGTCTTCAGCCTCTGTGTGGCTCTCTGCGGCTCAGACTGCTAATTTTTTTAAATGTCTTTTACAAAAATAATATGTACCTTTTTGATAGGCTGCTGAGTTCCTGTGAAGCATTTTCATAGAACTGAGATTTAACCCAGTTGTACTTCCTGTGTTAAATGTGGGGGAGAATAATACTGGATAACATCTTCATAAAAAATAAATGTTTAAGCAGCTAGTAATTCAGAATCCTATGTTTTACGACAATAAGTTTATTACTTCTAACAGTATTTACTGTGTTCAAAAATCTTAAATTCATACACTGAGATTAGAAAAGCAATTAATCTAGTAATGCTGTATTTAAAAGTTGGTTAAATAATTTTTTTGGGGCTTCATCTCTTGTTTTGTCCCATGTTTTAACTTCAGGAGGCTTAGAGGTTTCTCTTGACGTGCGTTAAGGGAGTAAATCATACAGGCTAACTGCAGATATCTAGGCTGGAAAGACAGTCAACTTAGCGAAGTGAATGTTTTATTCCAACTCCTAATTTAAACATTTAAGTTAGATAATAAATTTAGACTGAGTGTGTTATCTGTAATTTTCCAGATGTTTCCTCCCTGTAGATAAGTCTTTTCTTGGTCAGGAACTTTAATTAAAGCTGGGTAATAGCTGCTACTGATGTTTGATTTGCACTGTCCAAAATATAACCAAATATATAAATAACATCTCAGATACAATTAAGTATAGGTACAAAGACCACCTTGCAGATTATATCACTTACTCTTTTTATTATGCTTGGGTGTATATTTTTATTTGTAATCCATATTTCATCCCACTGCAGAGAGATCTTGAAACAGTTGCTTCACCATTGAATACAAGTCTTGCAGTAAGTCTAGATGCATGTTTGAGTCACTAGTACTTTAAAACGAAAGCAGCTGTTACAAAAAATTTGAATGAATCCTAAAAACTTGATGATGTAATATGAAGCATTAAAATATAAGTGTTTGTATCTGTGGATTAAGTGGATAAGTGGATTTATCTGTGTAATATAACTTTTTCCAGGGTCTCTTGACAGCAGGAGTAGAATTCGAATCTCTTCCCGCAGCTCTTTCTCTACCTGCAGAATCTGGTCTCTATCCGGTAACTCTTGTTGGTGTTCCTCAGACCACTGGACAGATCTCTATCAATGGTAAGCAATAACTTCAGTCATTCTCTTCCTACCAAAACAATTGCATTTTTAAAGTCTCTGTGGATTGCGTATGTTTCTGTGACACAGTTTCAATTGGTACGGTAAGTAAAACCGCTCCCCCCCCCCCCCCCCCAGATATTGAAAAAAACATTTGCTGTACTAGACTTCATTAAAAACATAGACCTCGATGCTGAATAATCACTTGTTTGTAGTGGCAACAATGAAGAGATATTTACAATATCTTCAGTATGAGTGGAAAAGGATAATGAACTCAAATTCCCCTTCATTAATGTTTTCATTTGAAACTCTTCTGAGAGAAATTACTTAAACTTCTTCATGAGAATGTACAAGATAATCTTGCCGTTCATTTTTCTCAATTAATCATGTTCATGCGAGATTAGAGAAATTTTTGTAAATTACTTGTGTAGAAACAGTTTAGCTGATGTGGGTGGTCTGTTGCAGTGCAGATATCATTTCAGTAATAATCCTAAATAGAATTGTGTAAGTAAAGAGAATTAAAGAGCTTTTGTAGAAGACTAGCAGATCAGTCTCTTAGAAAAGGAGGTACATGAGAAGATGACAGATTTAACTAGAAGTGATACTGAAGCATATTACTGATGCACTAGCTAAAGTAGATGTTCCTGGAATAAAAAATTGCAGGAAAAGAACCGTTTTAATAAAGTTTAACACCACTACAAGAGGGCTTTGAACCTTAAAAAATTCTGTTCTGATAAAGTTTTTCTTAAATGCTTTTCTGTCTGCTCATAATGCTCTTCTCCATTTGTTTTTTCTTCAGAAATTATTTTAGTAAATTCAGAATAGCATCAAAGCATTCAAAAACATTCGTGATGTAGTTGTCGGCTTTTAGTTTCACATACTAAAAAAGCACTGCAAGTAGAGGAGCTGATTTCTGCATTTGGGTGTTATTTAAGTATTAATGTGAATATTGCGAGTCTGTACTAGGCGCATGTAGTAAAGACAAGTTTTTCAGTAGTACTGGACGCATTTTTTTCTGGAAAATTTCTAGTTTGTCTTCTTTACCCTATCAGTGACTGCACAGAAAATCTTTTCTTTTCAGTACAGTTGACAGTTCATTGTTTCTAGGATTTTTTAAACTTCAGGATACGTTTGAGGCTCTTTCCTATTAATATTTTTTGGGGAAAGTGAGGGGCTCTTAACATATGTTGAAGAGTGAGAAGTTTTGTGTACACCAGTGGATTTGTGGACATGCTGCTGTAAAATTGTGGTCTGTACAGTATGACTTGTGATGTTGTTCTTGTAAAGGATTTTGGTGGTGGAATTAAAGAAGTGCAGTGGAAATCCTGAACTCTCTTTTTTGTTTTACTTGTCATATGTACAAAAGCATAGATGCATGTTGTTTGTACAGTGTGGTGTTTTTATAAATAGTATCATTTTTTTAGTGGATTGAAAATCTTCTTAAATTTTATGTCCTGTTAAGATTCTCCTGTAGAGAAGGTGGTGATTTGGGCAGTGGAAATACTGACAGGATCTGACTGCTAAGCCTTCTGTATGTTTAGACCTTCCATAACACCAAATAATTTCAGAATATATCGTTGTTTTCTTCCTAAAATCAGGTTACCACACTTCAGTTTTTGGTGTCTTCAGTGATTGCCTCCTGGACAATCTGCCAGGAGTGAAGACCAATGGCTGTACTGTTGAAGTCATTCCAGCTTTGCCAAGGCTGCAGATCAGTACCTCCCTTCCAAGGTGAGAAGCTGAATAAAGTGGGGATTCTGTCTCTGCTGTTGTTTATCATGCATAAAAGTAATAGTTTAATTTTAACTTTTACACTCGAAATGTGAAACATAAATTTGCTTGAATTTTTTGTTCTACTGGTTGAAATCTTGGAATTTCATAGAAAATGTATTGAGCTCTAATCAACTGAGGTAGTGTATTGGTTGTTCTTTATTCGAAATGTCCCTTTGAAAGACTGCATGCTATAAACGCTAGATTTTTGTAAATGTAGAAGTAAACAAACACAAAAAACCTCACGTTTTAATGTAAGTTGGAAGGGGGCCCTCTAGAAGTTGTCTGGAGCTTGCTCGAAGCAGGTGCCCCTGTGACAATAGATAAGACTTTAAATGTTGGATGAGGTTGCTCAGGACATCGTCTAATCAAGTTTTAAATATCTCCATGGATGGTGTTTCCGTCACTTCTCAGGGGAGTATTTTCCAAAGCCTGACTGTCTTCACTGTGAAAATTTGTAATTGGAGTTTCTCTTCCTGCAACATGTCCTCATTCCTCACTGTGCACCTCCAAAATGAGTATGGCCGTGTGTTGTCCTTAGGTAGTTGATGACAGCAGTAAAAATCTCCTTCTAGCCTTCTTCTTTCTCACGTTGAACAAACCCAGCTCTTTGGATCCAGCTCTTTTGGATCCTGCCATGTGCTCCACCCCCCTAACCATTCTGATAACCTGTCTAGACTTGTTCCGTCAGTATTTCCTTTACAGTGAGAAGCCCCAAAGAGTACTCCAGAAATGATAAGTGTAAGAAGTACCAGAAGAATTAACTAGAATACCATCTTATGCACTCACTTAGAGGACACGGTAGTTGTGTGTGGGTTTTAGGTTTTTAATATGTTTTGTTTGTTTGTTTGTTTTGGAAAGGATGTGACTAATTCCACAATTATAAAAGTGCTGGTAAAACATTGATCAAGTTCAGTTTTTGGAACTTTTCAGAAAAATACAGAGCTGCTCCCTTGTGCACTGTAAATGAATTTCTATTGTTAGAAATTATACATATGTTCTCACTGAAGTTGACAGGAGATTTGCTATCACTTCAGGAAGATTGAGATTTCATTTTAGGGAAGATTCTTTTTAGGGACTTGTTTTTCTCTATGTGTACCTTCCTGAATTTTTTTTTTAACTGTAGAATTAGGTTATCTAAATTGTTCTAGGGGATATATATACCCACTTTTTTGTTGCATTTTTTAATGTGGTTTACTTAGTAAAGCAATCAGTTTGGTTCTGATTTTTCCATGCTGGATTCTGTTTTTCTGATGTGGAGTGGGCTGTGTTAATGGTGTCCTATTACAAAGATATGAAAGTAATATCCTGATGAAGACCATTTGACAGCAAAATAATAAAACACTGCAATTGAGTTGCGTGTTCATAAGTTCCCTATAAAAATTTTTCTAGATATAGCAGCCTAGTGTAGTTTAACTGTTATCAAAATTAATATTGGATAGGCAAAGTTATGAATATATTGAAAGACATGATGAGTTTGAAATACAGAGGGAATTGCAAATATTCTTAAAGGACCATAATATTTCCACCTGCTGAATAAATGTTTAACTGATAATGCGGAACATCAACAAGATTTTTTTTTTGCTTCAGAAGTGTATTTTCTTTTCCGCTGATGTTAACTTTAATTTCTTCAAAGACTTCAGTTTCAGTTCTCAGTCTCAGTTCCTATCACATCCTTGGAATCCAAGGGTGCTTCAGGCTACCTCCCTGCATGCTGGAGAGCCCCTTGGTGACTGTCACTTCCTCCTTCTCCCAGCCTCTACGGTATCAGCGAATTAGCTCATACAACTCTTATCCTTTGGCTGCTCGGGAGAATGGGGTGCTTTTAAAAGACATAGGCGAAGAAATGAAAGAATGAACACTCTTGATATACTGACAGCAGGATGAAATCCAAATGTGATTTCTCTCCTTACATCTTGCTGATTTGCTTTACCTGCTTTCCTTACATCCATCTTATCAGCACTTGGTGTCTCAAGTTGTATTCATGGGAGGGAATCTTTTCCTGTAGAGCACGTTAGCTTTTATAGCTGGTTGTCTTTGGATCCTTCTGCGGGGACTGAAATGACTTCTCTTCTTTCTTGTCAAATTTATTTATTTTTGAAGTATTTGAGATAATCTTGGTACAGTATGTATTGTCTCTTCTTTAGAGATAAACCTGGTCCTACAGACCAACTCTTTTATCTGAAAGGCTAGTTAAAAGCATGTAGACCATTACTATCTCTTCAATAAATGACTGATTTAATAGTATTTTTGGGCTGACAGTGATATTGACAATAATAATTCCAAGCATTTCTAGGCATATTTCAACATCTATTTAGCAATGTAAACCAATTTTGTTTAACTATGTTATGGAAGGTCAGTTTTAATAAGCTCAGGTTAGCAGGGGCTGCAATGAAGTTTAATGTTTGTTCAGAATGACATTGTTTATATATGTGTGTATATATATATATATATTATATATATAATATATAAAAATAAAACTATGTCTATATATGACATATATAAAATATAAAAAAAAGACACTGAATCAAAATAATGTCATTCTAGCACCCTGTAAAATAAGAAAACAGTGTGAAGACAATGACTTAGTTTTGGGAGAACTGCAAATACTATATAGACAGAACTATGAACGATTTCTAATATGTATGAACTTGGATGGAAATCAGTCATTTACACAAGAACAACAAATTTTTGCAACTGCTTGGCAGTGCACCAGGCATTCTAGGTTGCTTTCTTGATGAGTATTTTCTAATGCAGCAATACTATTATGCTCAGGATCTTGTTTATAGGCAAAGAGGAAATGCACATTAGGTATAAAGCCAATAATTTTTTGGCTTCACCATTACTCCAGATGTAATTACTATAGAAAAAGAAAGAAAAAGAAAAGAAAAAGAATACTTTATACAGAGAAAGAATCACTAATAATAATACACATGAAATTATTACACACACACTTCTTAGTTTCAACTCGTTTTCCTGGTGTCACGCTTATCCTTCCACTGCTCCTCTGGATCCTGAGGTTGGTCTCTTCACCTAAGGTTGATGCTGTTACAGTGAGTCGTCAGCATCTGGATTGCCTTCAAGTGAGGAATATAACGTTGATGGTTTCTTGTGTTCGTTTTTCTAGGATACGCTTGAAAATATAGGATACGTTTTTATGCTTGCTAACAGAGTGTTACACCTTGCTCTTTCTTCACTGATTTGTAGTTCCATGTTGCATCCAAATTTACTAGATATGGTCCAGTTTTCATATGTTAGGTACTTGTTCTTTGTTCACTTTTTTACCCCCTGAGAACAGGTTTTGTCCAACTCCATCTGCTTTTCTTTAACTGACCATTGGGGAGTTGTTTATAGCCTGGGGTCTCTGATGTCAAGCCTGTGCCCCATCTCTTGTCATCCCGTGCCAGTACTCATTTCTGCCTCATCCTGCTCTCCACTTCTCAAGGCCTTTGCCTTGAGGCCTGTATTTCTCTTCATTACATCATTATGTTATAAATATATAATTCTACATGGGATTATAAATATCTCATGCTACTTGTTACTACTGTCTGCGTTAAACTATAGTTGCTCCGTGCAAAGATGAAGAAGAGTAAAACTAATTAGGTGTAGCCAGCTGGTCAGAAGAAAAATCACTGCTACAGGTAAGCTAGGTCCAAACCAAGTTGGAGGCAGGGCAAGACCAGTTCAGACAAAGGGAGCCTGAGAAGCCTCAGTGTCGAGGCCTTGCAAATTCAGAACGAAGCTTGTGGCTCCTAGCTAGGAAAGGCAATACTGTGTTACGCAGCTGTGGAGTTACAGTACTTGGACAGATGAGAAGTGAGACGGTGCTCAGTGGAAGAAGCTCTATTACAGCAAAGGGTGTGTAACCTTAATTAGCTTGGACTCAGGTTTCACATATACGTTGATACATTCAAGGTAGCCATTCTTTTCTTCTGTTAGTATACAATTCCTTAAAATTTTTGTCTAGGTATGGGGAGGAAAAAAGAAATCCCCTCTTTCCTCTCCCATTGCCACTCCAAAATGCCCGTATTTCAGTGTCATAATGACAAGGATATACAACAGCAAGGTTTAAATGGTCCAAAAATGCATGTTTTATTTATTTGTTGTCAAAGATGCATTCTGAAAGACTAAGACTCTGCTGTGATATTTGTTTGTGGAGGGTGCTTATCTTGTAGTAGGCTAAGAAGGACAGATAGCAAAAATACCTGTCAAGAGAAGTTACTGAACAGGGGTTTAACAACAAATTTATCAGTCATTGATCTTCGTAGCTTTTGCCCTTGTATCCTTGATCCTGTCTAGCCGTGTTGCGTATGCATGACAAATACGGTCAGAAGTTGAACCTCTGCCCATCTGTCTTGTTCTGCAATCCTTCTTCCCTCCTTCACGTTCCTTAAATAGTTCATTTATATTCACTGTTTCACCTTTCACTCAGTGATTTTCTTCCAGGATCCACTCCTATAAGGCTTATGTCCTCAGCTGTCCTCTAAAACTGCACTCTCCAAACTCCTATATTACTTCTTCCTGGCAAAGTTCAAGGTTATTGCTCGTTTCTCCTTTATCCGTGTGCTGTCATAGGCCTGTGCGTATCTGTTATTTCAAAAACTGACTAATTTGACACATTTGTTATTTTAAAATCAAACTCATGACATTCATTTAAATAAATTCATTTAAATATTTAAATAGCCTGCTTAATTAAATTTATTATGGTTTTGGCAGCAATTTTTTAATAAGCTTTCGCAGTTAGAAATACATATTTTATATTGTTTGAAATCTGAATTAACTTATGCATAACATATTAACCTTTTTCCTTGATAGCTCTAGAAATGGTCCTAGCTAAAATTAGAATGGAAGATGGTATCTTGCAAGATTGTAGAGCAGTAGCTTGTGAGTCTTCAAAGAATGGTTGATGGAATATAGTAACTTGAACAAGTTTTTAACATGTTTTTCATAATATTTGATTTACATATTTATCACTGTCTGCAGGTCTGCTCATACGCTTCAGCCGTCTTCAGGGGATGAAATCACCACGAATGTGTCTGTCCAGCTTTACAATGGAGAGACCCAACAGCTTATCATTAAGTTAGAAAATATTGGAACAGAACCTTTGGAGAAACTAGAGGTCACAGCAAAAACAGTCAACACTAAGGGTATGTAGGCTGATACATATATTTAGAAATAATAATCTCTCTTTCTTTGATAAATGGGGGTCTACTTGCTATATGCTTAAATTGGAACAATTTCACATAATATCGTAATTACTGTTAAGAAGCTGGAGTCATTCCATTTGATTATATTGCAGAAACATGGGAATGACAGAAGAAGTAAGAAAATACAGAAAGAAAATGAAAGAAAGTATAGAAACATTTATGTCTGAAACGGTCACCAGCTTTTTGTAAATCTAGATTTCATTTTAATGTCACTTAAAAAAACATCCTAAAACAATAAATAGTTAAAAGCAGGAATCTTGGATCTAAATTGTTTTCTCCTTATGCCTAAATATGATGATTAGTTAATTAAATAAATTGTCATTAACACTAATGTGTAGATGAGAAAGTGGAAGTAAATGAGCCTACTTCTGTCTCGCTCAGGGAGCAATACGCAAAGTCAGGCCCCAGCCTGTATTGCTGATAAAGTCTTGCAACCGAGACAGAATTACATTTATCTTTATGCAGTTCTTGTTAGCCCAGTCTTCCAGCCTGTGCAGGGTCTCTCCTGGTTTTACCTTTGGGTGTTACCTACCTCTCATCCCAGTTTGCTGTCATCTGCAAATTTGGTGAAGTTATTTTAAAATTGCGTTACCATATTATGACCAACTTTTAAGGAGAAATAGGTGCATGACAGTATTGCGCTAACCTCCTGTTGTTAAGTCCTGCAGGACGTTTTTCAGTGATCGATTTGCTTTCAAAGTTAAACATATGTGTGATCAAATATTAATTCATTATTCAGTAGCAACAAAATATGTTTTTTCCAAGAACAGAAATGTGTAGCCTGATAGGCAATATTCTGTAGAATGTTACTGTTTATATATTGAAGAAACAGTTGTTGTACTTTCTACCCCAAAAGGATGGACCTTTGCTCTGTTTTTAATGGACATTACAGAATTATATTCATTCAGTAAGATAACATTGTTAAGTAGAGACGTTGCAAGTAATGGGGTGGCCCTGCAAACACTGATTTTTTTTTTTTTTTAAATGTATTCGTTTCCTTGAGTTGCTCACAGAGGTAAGATGAACTGCAATACTTGGGTCTAGAAGCTCAGAATGAGGCATGTTAGTGTGGGGAAAAAAAACTGTAATTAAGTCTGACTTGTTACATGATTGTGTGGTGTGGGCATCACATAAAGTGCTGAGAAAGACTATCCATGGTAAAAGAACCAATGGTCCCCGTTAACCATGTAATAATTATGTTATGTAATTGTGTATAGGTGCTGCAAAGGATTTTTTTTTTTTAAATGGACTTTGTCTTTTGTTTTAGTGTTAATGATTACTGAAAAATGACAAAAACTTACAAAGATGGGCTCACCGTACAGTGCAAGAAAACGAGGTTCTGGTGAATAATGGTGAATGAGAAATTTGAAATGTCAGCAACTCAGTTTGGTCAGTGAACGTATTCTGTAAGCTGAAAATACTACATGTGTGGGAAGATGTGGACACTGGTTTAAACCATCTCTAATAGTAGTACAAACCGTTAACTTGATGTTATCTGTCAAGATGATATTATATATCGAGTTAAGAGCATAAGCAGACGCTTGCTGATGAACTGTCTGTACTACGTTAGGAAGTTGTCTCTCAGATGTTCGTTACCACTTCTCAGCTGAAATGTGACTGTGATTTAAATTATTCAAGGTGTTCTTGAAATCTGTTATGTGTCTTCCTCTGCCGTGGCCACAGCCTCCTCATCGCCTTGGGAGCCCATGAGAAGTTGTTGCCCAGTTTTGGCCAAATACAGGGTGCTTGCAATCATCCTTGGTTTCATCCGATTTACTTTGATTATTTTAGACTGGACAGTCCCTCATGAGTCTTGTGCAGCTGTTGCACGCGTGCCTGCCTGACTCCTGTTTCCTTACCTTCTGCTTCTGGGGCCACAAATTTAGAGCCAAGATGAATGCTGTAAATGGCAACTATTCTCACTTTTTGTTGTAGTATACTGGGTAGGGATTACTGTTGCTGTGCAATGACCTGACCTCCTCCTTCATTGCTCTGTGCTTCAGATGCTGGCTAGTCAGTAACTTTTCTTGAGGTAGCCCACTTCTCTGGCGTTGGTTTTTGATGTCTTCTTGTGTATGAGATCCTCTGAGGATCAGGTCTTCAAACTCTTTTTCCTGTTCTGTTTTCTTTGGCTGCGGTTCTTTGATTTTTCCACTCTAAAAGCTTTGACAGCCCAGGTATTTGATCCGCCTAGGGCCAAATTTCAGAGCGATGTTCTCAAACTTGAGAAGAGTGCGCCAGGCTTTCTTACCAGGCTTGCGGGTTGTTAAGGCTCTGGAAGTGAGCGTCAGCACTGAATTAACTTGGATGATGAAGCGAAACCTCATTGATCTTTCTTAGAAGCGATTGACCTCTGGAATTTAAACAGAGAGAAATTAATTCACCTGTCTAGCTGTATTCTTTCTGTGGTCTTTGAACACATCTGCTTGCAGTCTCAGCTGCTTAACCATGCCCAGACCATGAGTGAGAGATTCACTCCCAGGTCTCGGTAACTGATTTTTAAGGACTGTGAATATCCTGGTATAAATCTGTTTGCCTTTGTTATCAACAAAAAGCAGTCTTTCGAGTTGGTGTTGGGCTATGTTTGATGTGGAGTTCTGAGCGCGTGCAGGCTTTCCTCCGGTTAGTGCAAAGGACCCTGCCACGGTATGACAAAAAGGAGTGTTGATAATCCTGCCGCGGTTTTGCGATCAGGTTTTCTCAGCTGATTCTTCCTTTTTGCCCACGCTGATTGACACAGTTCTTCACGATCCACTCATAGGATGAATGCTAGATGGCTGGGTTTTTTTGAGCAGGTTTTATCTCCCATTAAGGAGATGCGCTAATTGTCTGGACGAGGCTCAACAAGATCCATTTACCGGGGAAA